TTACACCTACAAGAATAAACCCATTTTAATCTGTTCTAATGGTTTTGGTACCTGGACTATTGTGTTGTGAGCTGATACTGCAGCTCCACCTGAAAAATAAATTAATAAAAGAATAAATAAATTCTTCATCCCCTTTTTCCTCAGAAATAAACTGACATTATGTATTTTTCTAACCGTTGCCAAATCAGAAACACCTCCTAATCCCTTACAGACATTTCTCATGGCTCCTCTTCATCGCAGCAGGCTTTCATTCCTCACCACTTCATCACCTCCTGTGTGTGTGTGTGTGTGTGTGTGTGTGTGTGTGTGTGTGTGTGTGTGTGTGTGTGTGTGTGTGTGTGTGTGTGTGTGTGTGTGTGTGTGTGTGTGTGTGTGTGTGTATTTGCAAGTTACTGCAGGCTTTGAAAGCTCCAGGTATTTAAAAATCCCTCCTTTTTGACGTGATCTCACTCAGATGAGCCTGAGAGGAGTTGATACTCCCCTCTGTTCAGTTTCTTCTTGCTCATTTTTCTGAGATGAAACCCTCCCAGGGCTCCCAGTTTATCACTTTCTTAAGAAAACACGTCGTCTGTAGCAGTTAAACGTTAGCCCTTATCAAACTACACATAAAATCTTGTTTACTGTGTATTTTTTTTCTGGAATGTCTGATCATTTTTTGTAATTTTTGCAGAAGCTTTTGTAAATATTGAGATTATGTTTAACGACTTTCTGTTCCTGGTGGCGTTTCATCACCTTTGACACCCTTTAAATCACATTTTGCATGCGTGAGGCCGTGTGTGCATGTATACCTGCTCTCCAGCTCAACTCTTCCTTGTTTTCATGATGATTTAATCCAACTAATCTCATTTCGTGTATAGTAGCCATGCTTTTGTGCATTTCTATTGGATTTAATCCGCCCTCCTCCTCCTTTTCCATCTTCCTCCACCCCTCCACACCCCCGCGTTCCTTCCTGTTTCCTGTTCCGGTGTCCTGTGCACAGGAAGCTGGAACGTGCTGCGGGTTTTGGATGAACATTTATGAGTTACAAACATGATGAACACTACACAGAACTAAACATGTTGTTTTTTTCTGGTTTTGTCCTGAGCTCTAACCACCCTGGCCCTCTCATTGTTTCTCAAACAAATGCCTCATGGGGTCTTTAACGCGGTCCACAAAGCTACATTTGTCCTCCACATATGACCACCTGCTGACTCTTGGCTTTACTCTCTGTGAGTAAGCTCCGTCCAGCTGGGAAGTGCACTGGCCGAATGCACCTGCTGGCTCTGGTTTTAGTCTGAATCATCCAATGAAAACATTAATTAAGTCTGCTTTAGTTCAGGAGTCATCAGTGCTGCTTCTTAGCTGTTTTTTTGTGTCCAGCATGGAACCAGTGCTTAAAATTTGCACACTTTCTGTAAACTGTTACTTAAATGAGAAGCATAAGGTCAACAAGGGGTGCCGTTCCCGTGAGATCAGCCCTGATCAGGGTCAAATTTAGGCTTCAGAGTCCACGATAGCAACCCTTCCACTTATGCGGATCTGAAAGTTGTACCCAGTGTGGCCTTTTGGTCCATCTTGAGGTCTATTGTTCTACTTCTGTTTTTGCAAACCATGACATCTATTTCAGCACCCTTTGCTGTAATTATCCTTTTTATAGTCATGTTGCAACACATGTCGCGCCTGTTGCTGTCCTTAAAATGTAACAGAGTTTTGCTGTCACAGCTGTTTGCAGCGACCATTACACGCCTTCAGCATATCCATCCTTCAACCTTCAGACTGCTGTGTGTGTGTGTGTGTGTGTGTGTGTGTGTGTGTGTGTGTGTGTGTGTGTGTGTGTGTGCGTGCGTGCGCGAGTGAGTGTGTGCGTGCGTGCGTGTGTGTGTGCATGTGTGTGCGTGTGTGTGTGCGTGCGTGTGTGTGTGTGCGTGCGTGAGTGAGTGTGTGTGTGTGAGTGTGTGTGTGTGTGCGTGTGTGTGTGTGTGTGTGTGTTTGTGTGTGTTTACGGGAATGTCTGCAGGCCAGGCCTTTTATTAGGCTCATCCATACCACCACATTATAGGCTATGGTAACCAAGCAACTGCAGGTTCTGCCTGGTTACCATGGCGAGTGCCCATTGAATGACATTACTGGCCTGCTTGCCCCTCTCCTCATTGGAATAAGGACTGCTATTTTTTTAAAGGTTGACACACACACACACACACACACCCCACCCCCAACTCCAACTCCTGCAACATACACACACACACACACACACACACACTTTAGCACTATGTGTGTGGTGACTAGATGAATAACGCAACCTGACAGAACGTGGTGCAGGCCCGAGCTGCACCTTAGGGAGTGGCCTCCAGAAAATAAAACGTTACTGTAAAAAACTCAGAGTTTAGAAAAAGAAACAGCAAGATTTTAAGTCTTTGCAAACATCCGACACACAGAAAATGTATACATGCTCATTAGACATGCAAACGGTTAGTTTTATTTTTGTTGGTGGTTAGAATAATTCATTACTTGACCACAGTTAGACAAAATAATGTCTTAACAGAAAGTTTTACACAAACAAAGGCTACTTTTTAACAGATATGTTGTCATGATTCGCCCCGGCCTCCCTGACTGTGTCACTCCTTCAGTAATTGGCCTTACTGTTCTCACCTGGCCCTCGTTAACCTGCCCATGTGTTCCCTGATTGTTCTGTGTATTTGTACCTCCCTCTTTGTTCCTGTCATTTTTCGGATCATTGTTGTTTGTGCATATTCGTCTGTCCTGTCGCTCCCAGTCTACAATTAAACCATTTTTATTTTTTCATCCGTTGCCTGCTCGTATCTGCCTCCTGAAACCCACCACCACACATGGTCCACCATCTCCACCCGCAGAAAATGACATATGTAGATGTTTGGAAACTTTACAAGTAAAAAAATACTTTTTGCTCATTAATTCTTTCTTCGTGATTTTTCTTTTCTTAAAAACTGAAATTGAATCAAAGACATTCTCTAACTTTCTCAGTATCACTATGAAGTTTAAGACATAAAAGGTTTGATTTATGTAAAAATATTCATATTATATTTACCATTTTTGTGTTTAAAACTTATTAATCTAAACATAATAAAACATTTTTAAACATCTGGGATGTCTGGAACAAATGTATTTTGGATTAATACTGTATCATATCACCATTACATAATATTGATCAATCTCAGATCTGATTGACTCATATCAATGTTGTAAAATACAAAGTTTGATAAAATTTTTAAATTTTTGCATGTTTTTGTTTATTTGGAGCATTATAACTACGTTTAATACCTATTTCATAATATAATTGATGCTGAGGTGTAATGCTTAATTTTTTGTTAAAGAGTAAGTCACCCCCTACCGGAGTCTAAAGCTTGGTTTATGCTTGACGAGTTTACTTTCCGCTTGGTGATGCGGCTCGCGGATGGAACGCGCTTCACAACTTGCAGCGTTTATGGTTCATGCGGCTTGTCTCTGCGGTGAGCCAATACCTTCCCAAACTGTAGGGGGCAGCATGGAGCTCTGTGGCATGCATCCAACACTACACCATAGGAGAAGTAAAAATTACTGTTGTTTACAACATGGTATTCCAGCAGTTTTAACAGCGTCCTTGTCTTTTCCGACAGTGTGAGCTATTTCTCTCCAAGAATTATTAACAACATGTTGATCACGGTGATCTCTGAGAGCTGAATCATACAAATGTCTGTATTTATGAACCTCTGCCATACTAGTTCTTGCCAGTCCGCCATGTTTTTCCGCGTCCGACCATCTGCGTGGTTAGAAAATTTTCTGCGCGGTGCAGAAAGTTTGGGCCATGCGGAGGCGCGGTGGAGGGGCGTGGTTGTTAAAATGATGCAATTTTGCCGCACGGAGCCGTGTAAACCTCGCGGACGCGTCAAGCATAAACCAACCTTAACTCCACTCCCGCTTCCTGTTTGAAAAATGCACCACAATGAGGTGTTGCCTGGCAGACTGAGAGGGCGGAGCCGATAACAAATGAACACACAGGCTCACAGCAACATTGTGACATCATATGGTACCTGCTAGGATACCTTTTCGCCAATAGAAATGGCAGATTTAAATTCAAATGTAGTGTGGAGTTTTTACCTGTAGAGGGCGCAACACTGACAGTTTTAAGCAAAATATTAAAATTTGAACAAAGATGCACTAACGTGCCAAATCATTGACTACATGCATCTACAGCATGATTAGACACTCTTTTATAGTTTATCAGCAAAAAAAGTTGATTTGGGGGTGACTAGCTCTTTAAGTTATTCTCATAATTTTCCAAGTTTTTAGTGCATGATCAAAATAAAGAGACAACAATGTAGTCGAGGCTGCCATTTAAAAGGTAAAAGTGTGTTGTGCTGTTTATATCACCTCTGCATGTCTGACTCACTCTGAATTTTGGGGGAAAATAGCGGAATATTAAAACGCTGTGATATTAAACGCTGTACAAAACATGGCCAAGCGCCATGTGAATGTTTTCCGTCAGCAAAGTCCATGAATGTCCCAACTTTCTCCTGACTGTATGCAGACTTTCCTTTTTCATCTTATAAGAGGGCATATGACCCGCTAAGATTCTCAAGTCGGGCAAAACAACTAAGCTGCTGTAATCCAGTCACGCTTTCTGAGTGTTGTTGCTCACTTTCTGTAATTTATTTTTGTTGCTTCAGTTTAAACTGATATTTTACTGCATCTGATAAACTTTGTGAAATAAAATTCTCATCAGAACTTTAAGGTGATGATTTCAGTTCAAAAACAAGTTTCCATCCATCTTGGCTGCAGAGTGAGGAGAGGAGGTCTGATTCTGGGTGGGGGTGGAGGGTGTGGGTATTGTGAGTGGAACAGCAGAACCCCACTCCAGCTGAATGGCCATTGTCATCTGGATTTCTATGGATCACCAAAATACTTTCTCCCGCCGACGTGGGGGTTGTTTTATGGGAACTGCACATTTTGCGCACAGCCACAGCGCACGTTTGTTTTGGCTTTAATAACATACTTTAACTAAAGAGTCAGACAATAAATCCACTTTAATCTGAATAAAAACGAAACAGTATTGCATCTTCATATACATGGATAATGAAACATGACGTCATCATGACGCCAGAAAACAAAGTTATTGCAAGAATTTTTGAAAAGACAAAAAGAGATCGTGCGAATGATGCAAAAAAATAAAAAACAGGTAAGATTCCAGGATCTGTGGGACCAAAAGATCCTGAACAAACTTTAGCATCACCACATTAACATAGAAATCCTGTCTTACATTTGTTGGCGCTTCAACAGGTGCAATTTCCTTCTTTCATCCTAATTGTTGTTGGACATTGTTGTTAAGATATCAACAAAAAGCTCCACCAAAGGAATGGTTCTTGTGGGCCTGGCAGCCATTCTCTACTGTACAACGTTGTGCTGACAATGCCCAAAGAGAAGAGAAGAGATGAACATTTTCTTTCAAAAGATTTCACCACAAAACAAAAAACAACAAAGTGAAAACAGCAAAGAACTGAATAAACTGGAAGGTTTACAAAAGCAGGTACCTAACAAAGATACTCCTTTCTGCTGCGAGTTACCTCCTTTAAAAGTCTTTTAAATCTCCTGAAACAAAAAAAGTGTAAATAAGGGGTCCGAGAATATTGAAGGACCCTTATAAAAACAGCAGAGGTGCTTCCATTGATTCCAAAGTTCAGATTTGAAAAGGATTAACCAAAGATTGGTGCAAAACAACACACACAAACAAAAAACAACGTCCGTTAAAAATAGAAAGCAGTTTTTGGAAAGCTGCAGGTCGCTTTTACGCACCGCGCCTGCACTGCGCCACGCAGCTACACATAATTCCTTTTGTCATACTCCCCGTTCTGCGTGGCTCTCTGGGTCGGTGCGTATTTTACAGAGTATCCCGAGTTCCCGCTGGAGGGACAGGAGCAGCACAGCAGCGTCCCACCGATAAGAAGCAAGGCGGTGGCCGCCCAGCCGATGTAGAGCGCAGCGCCAATCTCCCTCTTCTTGGATGCGGGCACCTGGGGGTTGTAGAAGTCCGAAATGATGTTGTTGGCCATCCAGCAAAGAGGCACCAGCACGAACAGACCACTGATGATGTAGATGATTCCTCCGGCGTTCACCACGCGAGCTTTGATGTACTCTGTGCGAATGCAGTTGGTACACTGCGCCCCCGCGATCACAACCATAAGACCCAGCACTCCCATCATGGAGGAGATAATGGTGAGCGCTCTGGCCGCCTGAAGGTCGTGGGTGAGCGCGAGGATGGAGTCGTGCACCTTGCACTGCATCTGGCCCGTGCTCTGCACCACACACGTCATCCACAGCCCGTCCCAGATCGTCTGAGCCACCACGATGTTGGCTTCGATGAAAGCCGTCACCTTCCACATGGGAAGCCCGCACGCGACCATCACCAGGAGCGAGCCAATTACGCACATAGACAGTCCCAGAATCTCCAGTCCGGCAGACACCATTTTCGCTCCTCGCTCTTCTGTTTGATCTGAAGTTTGTTGAAAGTCTCGCCTTCTCTCCCCCTGTCTCTGCTGTAGGCTGTTTCACACCTTAATGAGCACCTAGCGTCGGTCTTTAGTTGCGCATCACTCACCAGATTTAATTCGAAAAGAAAGAACAGCTCCGGACTCTCTTTGTTGGCGAGGGGATGTGAAAACAACTGGAACCACAGTAGCGCCGGACCGTGGATATCTGCGAGGTGGGGGTATGTGGAGTCGAGGAGAAACTTTCATCCAATCCGCTGCCGCCGCATCCTCCAGGGACCAATCAAAATCCAGGGAAGTTGTGAGACTGGATAAAGCGGTCCAGAGCGCATTGTGCGTTTGAAAAGTTATGTACAATGAATAGAGGGGTGAAGGGCTGATGCGGAGGTGGGTGGGAGGGGTGTGGGTGCTATGGGGTGATGGGGCAGCAGGCAATTGTTTAGAAAAAAAATTAAAAACAATTGATTCTTCAGAAATTCAAACTATAAACTATCAGTTTTTTATTTTTTAATTTTTAATTTTTATTTTTTACAGGAAAATACTATTGAAGCAATAAAACTACCAATAAAAACCTAAGGATGAAGATGGCGCTCTCTCACAGTGGTGCCCTTAAATATTTTTCATTGGGGGCTGAAAACTTTGGGATGGCACTCAGAACTGGTCCCCATGGTAACTCTGGGATTGTTGTCAGTGCAGTGAATTTCTCTGCCATTCTTTTTTACTTGAGAAAAGCCAATGCATTCTACACATTTACCTCAAATTTAACACAAATGTTAAAAAACAAATTTTTTTTACAGTTGTTTAAGTTGTTGTTTTAGATTTTATTGTTTTAACAAACGGTCTAGTTTGCCTAGTGGTGTTTCAGCAAAAACATCCACAAAAACTATTGATATTTATACTGTTTTTAATTGAGAGCCTCAATGCAAATTTAAATTGTGATTTACATTATTTTTAACATTTGAATGAAGGTGTTGATCACAGAAAAAGCATGAATTATTTCTAAATATAACTGGTCGCTCTGAGTTTTTTGTGCAGGCAGAATTTGAAAATCCATACAACCCTTTTCCTGCATTAGCGTGTAGCATGAGGAAGGCTCTCTGATGTGATGTAAACAACAATTTTCCAGAAGTGGCCATGACTCCCCCCATGACTGGTTCTGTCCTGTAAGTTCACAAAGGGCAACATGGACTTCTTTTTGTGTTTTTAAGAGGTTTTGATGGTTTGAGGATGTGCAACTGATAAGAAATGCTGTGTCTTCAAAAAAGAAGAAAGATGTAATGATTCTGGAACTTAGAAATATGCCTTCCGGAGCTTCATCAGCAGTTTTTGTGACTCAGTAGTTCAAAGTTCATTGAGAGAGCAAAAAAAAAAAAAAAAAGATGCATAAGAACTTAAAAGCTATTCAAAAAATAAATCATGTCTGAAAGTCATGTCTTTATGAAAAATAAATCCTCCAAAGCCCCAAAGAACCCAAGGAATGCAACAGTTGTGGGTCAACTTTTCAGCTAATAACTCTGGAAATGAGTTGAAGTTGGTGTTAAAACATATTTTTGTGTCTGTCAGTTTTAAGTTTACGAGCAGCAGCTCAGGAGGTAACGCGGGTGGTCCAGTAAATAGGACAGTTGCAGGTTGGATCCCTGCTCCCGACAGAGAACTCTGCTCCTTGGGCAAGACACTCAACCTTCTCTGCCTGCTGCAGGTCGGGGGGACTGATGGCGCCTTTGCTAGGAAGCCTCGCCTCTGTCAGTGAGCCCCAGGGCAGCTATAGCTACATCATAGCTCATCCTCACCAGCGTGTGAATGTGTGTGTGAATGGGTGAATGACTGATTGTGTTGTAAAGTGCCTTGGGGGGTTCTAGGACTCTAGACGGCACTATATCAAATACAGGCCCTTTACCATTTTACCGTATTATGAATGAAAAAAGTTTTGTAACCTCTTGTAACAAATCAGTAAATGCATTTTGTCTTCTTACGGGCTGCTATAGAAGGAAACATGGCATCTAATAGGACTCGTGATCGTGACGTCATCACCAACGCGACCGCCCTGTTGGTGGCCTACAAGTCCTTCCTTGTTACTTGTTACAACTGACAACAGTGCGCTCAGTCTCGTTCTTGCAGATTAAATTTATCAATTATGCTATTATTATGCTTCTAGACCTGCAAAAGGAGAAAGAAAAAAAGAGAAAAGGGACACACAACAATACAACAGGAGTAAACTATCACTGCATCAACCTGATGAGGAAATATAAAATCAACATTGTTTTGCTGAACAATCACGATAAGAAATCACAGTGCATTTAGTGCCAACCATAGCCTTAAGACATGTGTTGAACGTGCCCAAGTCTATACTTATGAGAGCACCATGTGAGCACCTGTGTGCATACCCGCACTTGTGTATGTAAGGTTTCTCTATAGGAGCGTCCAGTAGAGAGTGTGCAGGGTGACAGATCTGCCCCCCAAAGATGCGTAGGAGATGGAAGGAGCTCCAAGTCTCAGAGATCCAGGAGCTGCCCCAGAGCACAGGGAACCCAGGGAGACTGCGACCAGAAAAGCCCTTGCCCCCCTCGAGAGGTGCAGAGGATTGCCCCAGGGGGCCACAGCCGGCAGAGTCCCGGGGGATATCAGCGGCAATCCCACAGGTCTGCCCGCAGTCTCCCACCCCCAAGCCGGCCAAGCCCGGAACCCAGCGACCCGGGACCCAGGGGCGACCAGCCCCGCCGGGGACCTAACAGAGCCCAGGTACTCAGATCCCACCAGGCAGCCACCGATATTAATCAGGCAGACGCCAAAAATCTTAAACCCCCTGACCCAGGAGCCGCGAACAATCATGCAGACCAAGGCACCACACTCCACACCAGGTGCGGCAGGGGAAGGGGAGGCGAAGATGTAAAGCAGCAAAAGAAGTCCCAGGAGAGGGGAGGAGTCAAAGGCCCCACCTGACATATACAGTCATACACAAACACAGTCACACACTCCCTCCCTCATGCTCTCACATACACATACAACCTAAGACTTACAAAAATTCGCTCCAAGACACCCACTCATGCTCCCCATACACACCCTATTCACTGGTCCCGGTAATGCTGCACAAAGGGGACCACCATCACCGGTTCCCAGAGTTCGACCCTTTCGGCTGGGGTGCTGATGAGCACAGAATATTTTTGTAAATAGCCTATAATCATCAATTAATTTGCCAATAATAAATTCCGAATAAGTTAATAACACTTTTTAGCATTATCTATTTGTTTAAACAGATAATACATTAAATATTTCCCAAACTTTTCCCCATTTCGAAACCAGACATCAACTGAAATACTACGGTAGCTCTTTGGCTCAATTTTCATTAATTTTTTATTGACAAACTTGACATAAACAACAAATATGGTACACATTTCCAGAACAGTTTTCATCTTGAAAATGTAACAGAGAATGCTACTTCTCAGTTCAAAGAACAATATGAGAAAATTACAGGTTGATTTGGGCTCAAATGAGTAGAGGACATTGCAGTTCGGCCACCCTGTGTTTGAGCCGTAATGGCGTCAGTGACGCAGCACGATCGAGGGCGGACTCGGGGAAGCTGTTTCCGTGTTTCCCTTCCTGGGCTGGGACAGTAGCAACACGATAAAGGCTCCGGCTGTTCAACAATACCTCAAAGTTTCGTACAGGTAAGACGCTACTCGGAAGTTAAATGTTACTTTAACATAAACTGAGCTGGTTGGAAAGAGCAAGGTGAAAAGGACACCACGGAGTCTCCGAACCGAGCTGGAGACTCGACACTCGCTGCGGTAACAACTGTTGCATGCTAAAGTTTGGCATGTATCGTTAACCCAGTTTCAGTGCTGTTTTACAGTAAAATGGTTCATTAAAGTTTTTTTTTAATTAAACGAAAGTCTTAAAGCGCACACGTGAACATCAGTTGTCCCGTTTGGTGTTCAGTAAACTTGAGTCCCAGTATGCCTGACAGACTGGGTGTGGTGGGCATGAACTGTCACAGAGGCCCTCGCTCACGTTTTAGCCCCTAAACAATGGCTCAAGCATCGCAGTTTCCCCCCATCGCTGCTTTATTCTGGTGTTTAGGCCTACTTTGCTTAAATGAGTTAAAATAAAAATGGCAAATGCTTTAAATTCACTAAAATAAGCCTCTAATGAATTCGAAATGTCGTTTTTTTGTATTTTCTACCTATTTTTGGTTTAACACTTTAATTCAAAAGTAAATTTCTCCTTCAGACAACCTCACAATAAGAGTGGAAACAATATGTGTCTAGGTCTGACAGGGGTGTCAAACATGCGGCCCGCGGGCCGGATCCGGCCCGCAAGCGGGTTTAATCTGGTCCACGAGATGGTTGTGTAAACTTTATTTTCATACTTTACAATGTAGAGTGAAAGTAAACTTATCTTTGTGAGCAAGTTTTCTCTGTAATGAGTATAAATAAAACAAAGCTGCGCTCAAGACTCACACAAGAACTTGAATCACATCCTGAAGTTGGTTACCACTCAGGATGTGACGTCTGATATTGACGTGCTGGTGAAAGCTAAAATATGTTTGGTAAAATGAGTCAAATATACTTTACATGTTGCATGAAACTGATCTAGCCATGTGATCTGTAAGCTCTTTGAATCACTAAGGAATGTTTTTATTTATTGATTTTTTAGTTTTTTCAAATTTGCAAGTACACTTCAGGTGTTGTACTTGTACTATTTTGGATACACTGTCCTCAGGCTCAAGCTTTGTTTTATATTGATTGTATTAAAACAAAGAAAACAATCTGAAGTTGTTTTTTTATTTACCGGTCCGGCCCACTTGGGACTAGATTTCCCTCAGTGTGGCCCCTGAGCTAAAATGAGTTTGACACCCCTGGTCTAGGAAGTGGTGAAGGGCTACTCTAGAATAATTATCACCCATCCTGCTTGTGTTTTTGGCTCAGCTCGTACATAACTTCTGTTTTTACAGATTGGTGAACACGGAGGGAGACATTGTGAGCTGTAATCTCAGGCTAGCAGCTGTTACAGAAAACAACTTGGTGTTTTATTCAGCTGGACAGATTTGCTTGATATTTGAGGAATGTCTGTCATATCTCTAGATTTTTCAAAGTAACGATTCAGCTCTTTTACCACTCTTTGACCTTTGCCCTTGGTTCAACCTTCTCTTTAAAAACAGTGTTTGACACACAAACACCAGGGAACCCACCTGTCTGACCCTATAAATCACCAGGAAATGTTTCCTCTTCTTTTGTGCTTTGGTGTGAATGGGACTATTTTTCATTCAATGGCAAAATGGAACATTGACTCAGAGGTTTGCATTTAAGATTTTACAAATTATTACACCTTTTATTTGCTAGGCTATGGTGGGAAAATGTATACATACCTTTTTTTAATGTGACACCTAAAGTAATTTACAGTTATTGGCCTCTGTATTTTATGTTTTTGGATTAACCGGGGTATCCGCGGATCCTTAAAAAGTCTTAAATTTGCTTTTCCAAATTTAAGGCCTTAAAAATCCTTAAAAATGACAAATAATCCTTAAATCCAGTTTCCAAAGGTCTTAAATTACCAAAGACCCAATAAACAAGATTCTTTTATTTCTATAAAAATTTTGTGAATTTCTAGTTAGTGTTCAGAATTTTTTTGTGTATGATATTAGCGTAAGCGGAACCGTACACATTCAGTTGGTTGTGAAAGGGGGCTATTTTTAGATGAGCACATTAGCTGGTTAAACTAGTGGGAGCTTGCGCCATGGGGAAGTGCAAGTTTAATGGTAACTGGATGGTTAATCCCACGTTCGCGATGTGGTTGGCACCGGTTCCAGGCAATAGCTGGAAATTATAGCTTAAATTTTATTTTTAAAAATAGCATAAATTTGGTCAAAGTGGCCTTAAAAAAGGTCTTACGTCTTAAAGCTGGCTCCCATAAACCTGCAGATACCCTGTTAACCACCAAACAAAAAAATGGGCAATTGTACGGGATACAGTATTTATATTTAGCTTGCACATAAGCACTTCCACTTAGTAAGTCAATAAGATGGCTTTTTAAAAATTTTTTGGCAAAAGTTGCCTTCTGGAAAAGCCTAAATTACCTATACTGATGTATAGTGCTGATGGTCATGTGGGAAAAAAATTAGAAAAAGAAATCTTAGGCCTAGTCCACACGTAGCCGGGTTTTTTGAAAACGAATATCCGCCCCTCCAAAAACTTGCATCCACACCACCGCGTTTTAAAAACAAACTCTGTCCACACGTACCCGGATAAATACGTTGTTATGGACATGCCAGACCTGTAGGCGGCAGCACTTCCCCCGTTCTTAACCTCGTCCTTCGTCTGTGGTCTTCCGCAAGGAGCAGTAATTCCGCTTGCAAAAACAAACAAGCAGAAAGCGCTTGGACGATTGATGGATCGGGTAGTGACAGAGCGCAGCTCTGAAGGCTTCCATGATGTCGGCTAGTGTAAACACAGGTCGCACACGTGATGTCAGCATTTTTTTGTCGCGGAAAGTGACGTTGCGGACCTTAAAACTCCGGTTTTGTCCGTCCACACGCAGACACCCAAAACGGAGAAAACGCAGATCTTCACTTTGGCCGGAGTTTTTAAAAAGATCCGTTTTCGTGTGAAAAAACTCCGTTTTCGTGTGGATGACAGGCCAAAACGTAGAAAAATATCTACGTTTTGGCAGATCCCCGGCTACGTGTGGACAGGGCCTTAATGGCGTATGGTGAAACCGGGAGCTGCGAGGCGCACACCTAGCTCTTTTTTCCTCAATATCTTCATTGTTCTCTATAGCAAAAGTTAGAATTTTAACTGGTCTGTGATAGCAATAGCGCTAACCATCTCCATTTTCTTTCTTTTTTCGTGCTTGTGAGAGGCAGGGGATTACTCATTACTTTATTTGGGCAGCAGTAGCTCAAAAGGTTGAGCGGGTTGTCCAGTCATCAGACGGTTGCAGGTTCGATCCCGGCTCCGGACTATGGTTGTCACGGTAACCGGTGTAGCGGTAAACCCCGGTAAATAGTTGACAATAGCAATAACCGTCTTGTTTTAAAAAATATATATTTTCCCGGTGGGTTTACCGTGGCTGCGGTGTAGGCACGGTGACCCTTACCAGCCACCGTATCATCTGCTGAAGTTGCCGGCGGCACATGCGCACTTTGTTATTTACAACCAAAACTTTCTTGAAGCTAAAGCTGAAATAATGGCTAAAGGAGGAGACGGCAGCGCTCAGGACATTTATTATCCCTCAAAGAAGACAAAGTGGGAAGTACGGGCATGTTTTGGTTATTTGAAGAATGCCGAGGGACATCTGATAGAAGACGGCTATCCTGTTTGCAGCACGTGCAGAAAAAGTGTCTGTGAAAGGCAGCAACGCTTCAAATCTCATGACACATCTGCGTGACCATCACCCACAACTCTACAGTCAACGCAAGGCAAGCTAACGTTAGCGTTTTAGCTAAAATGCGTGATCCGAGGATTTGGGTTGAGGGAGAATGCAACGAGTCGCTATATAAAGCAGCCGCAGCGCCGCTACCTGCATATAAACCGTGTCGCGGACACCGCCATGTTGAAATGACGCTATGCATTACGGGGCTCCCAGGGGCAGATAAGAGTTGGTCTCTCTCCGAGAATAATTATGAATTTAACAACGATTACTGCCTGATGACATTTTCCCACATCTGCAAAGCTCACTGGAAGGACACAAACCGTGGACAATATTTTCCTGATATAGAGTTTATTACTCAAGTAAGGGTAAAAAAGTATCTGATTAGAAGGCTACTTGAGTACTGAGTATCATCTGATCTAATATTTTTAAAATGATGACATCAAACAGACATAAAATAAGAAGTTATGGACAAATATTGGTGTTTTAAAGACTAAAGGGGAAAAATGTAAACAAAATAAACAACATAATTACAAAATAACACATTTTAGGCAACATTTAGACACAAACTGAGGACAATATTTTCCTGATATACAGGGTTTATGTAGTTGTCTGAAAATGTAACACGTTTAAAAAAAAATACCGCGATAATACCGAAAACCGTGATAATTTTGGTCACAATAACCGTGAGGTTAAATTTTCACACCGTGACAACCCTACTCCGGACAGAGAATTCCGCTGCTGTTTCTCACCAGTATCAGCTGATGGAGGTCTCTGGTTTTGTTGCGCCATTCGTGTCAGCGGGCATGGTAGGGTCGGGGCATGATGCTTAGCCTGGCGGGTGGCCAAGCAAAGCCTGGCATGCCGCCAGGCTTACAAAGTGCTGGGGGAAACCCTGGATGTTTCCTGAGTCGGCCTCCGCTCGTGCCACTTATTTCAGAATTAGTTTTTCTTCCCATTCATCAGCAAAGCACTGGAAAATCTCCAGTCTAAAGGGATATGACCAATTAGTCTTTAATTTGGATGTAATCCTCACCTGTGACCTCCATATAGCAAACATTAGAATTGTGATTTTTTTTAACCCTAACCATTTAGTAATTAGCCTGTTCTGTGCTCTAAACACAGTTACAAATTGGCCTCCTTGTTTGTTTTTACTATAAAATACTTTTTTGTGTTACAATTATTACACAGGCTTCTCCTTCTCAGGGATTATTTTCTCAAACCGCACCTTTAGCCCTCAGGCTTCATTAGGGACATTTTAGTCCATCTGGGCAGTTTTTTGTTTTTCTTTTTGACGCCA